CCCCCGCCGCCGCCGCGAGAGCAGAGACCCGCGCTGGGGCTGCGCTACGAGACGGCCCGGGCCGGCGACCGCCGCCTTGGGTAAGCGGGGGGGTGGGGGGCGTGTTGGGTGTAGGGAGGTGGTGCCCAGTCCCGCCGCTCCCCGCGTTGTCACCGCGAGTGTCAGAGCCGCGTCTCGGCCGCTTGCTCCCCGGCAGGAAGGTGGTGGTCGTGGCCAAGTCGCAGAAGTTCCGGGAGCAGCACGGGAAGATCCTGCTGGAGGGGCACAGGCTCATCAAGGACGCGCTGGAGGCTGGCGCGGAGCTGCAGACGCTCTTCTTCAGCTCCCAGCGGATGAAGGAGCTGAAGGAGCTGCCCGAGGCAGCGCTGAAAAGAGCCAGCTTGATCAAGGTGAAGTTCGAAGACATCAAGCTGTGGTCGGACCTCGTCACTCCACCGGGGCTAATAGGTGAGGTGCGTGGGGGAGAGACGGCAGCAGCCGTCGCGGCGGTAGCGAGGCAGGGGCAGCGGAAGCGGGATGGAGGTTGCCTCTTGCGCCAGGCCAATGTTGTGGTCCGCAGAGGCGACCCAAGGAGCCGGCTCCTGGTGACACAGAGCTTGGTGCAGCTTGGGGAGCGCTACCTACGCTGCATGGGGCCACGATAACACCCCTCGGCAGCCAGGCAGAAATAGCATCCGATGTCCTGGGAACACTGCTGCCTGTCAGGCTCCTTGGGGAAGGAAAAATTGTTCTGCCTGAGCTGCTCCTGGCGCGCTCTGCCATGCCACTCTGCAAACTGCAGAAGTGGCGAAGTTGGGTTGAGCGTATCGCTGGGTGGGGCACGGCTGTGTTAAAGAAAAACAGCCGACTTCCATCTGCCCATAGGCCTCTGTCTGTTTGCTTCCTCAGGAATCTTCTCCAAGCCGGACTACACCAAGATGGTTTTTCCAGCCATCCAGCTGAGGAATGCGTTGCCCCTTGGCCTTATCTGCGATAACATCCGTGACCCAGGAAACCTAGGGACTATTCTGAGGTCTGCAGCAGGGGTGGGCTGCAGCAAAGTGCTGCTCACCAAAGGTAGGCCGCTCCCTAGGGAGCCACACTCTCACACGACTGGGGGGCAGTGGGATAAGGAGATGCCTGGAGTGCCAGCTCGGTTGGCAGGGCCTGCGGGCCCTGCCAACTCCTTGCCCCTTCACTTTGACTCTCTTTTTGCAGGCTGCGTGGACCCTTGGGAGCCTAAAGTGCTTCGTGCTGGCATGGGTGCTCACTTCCGCGTGCCTGTCATCACCAATCTGGAGTGGGAGTCTGTCCCTGGCAACCTGCCCCCTGATACCTGCATCCATGTGGCTGGCAACCGGGACCCAAGTGCCCAGGATGAACCAGAGCACACCTCGGGCAAGGTCAGCAGCTACGGCTGGATCTCTCGCCCATGCAGCCTGAAGGTGGGGGCTGGCAAAGGGCACTTGTCTTTGGATTCTAATGGCAAGGGGGACAAGAAAGCAGAAGACTGGGACCAGAACCCAGAGCTCCCTGCACAGACCTATTGTGAGAGCTGGGCCCGGGGGCCGGTGGCAGTGGTGATCGGTGGGGAAACGCAGGGCTTGAGCCTGGAAGCACTGCAGCTGGCAGAGAGCACAGGGGGCAGGAGACTCGTCATCCCGGTGGTGCATGGCATGGACAGCCTCAATTCAGCCATGGCTGCCAGCATCATCCTGTTCGAAGGCAAGAGGCAGCTGCAGGAGCCAGAAAGCACGAGGCAGAAGTTCCCGGTGTCAGGCTACTGACCAAGGAGACTGCTGCGTGCTTCCAGGACCCCCTGCTGTATGTTCACGTGTGTGGGATTAGCATAGAGCTGAATAAAGCCAGGGCTGGGGCACTTGCTGTTCGGTGTGCTTTGCATGAGGGTTGAACTGAACCTGCCCAGGGCCCATCACACATTCCAACTTCCCCTCAGTGCCGGGGGAACCTACAGCCTTGGGCAAGGCATCAAGAGCTGCATGTAGCTGCCTCTGCTACCAAGGACAGACAGGGCTTGGAGACTGCAGGTGTCTGAATCTACTGCTACTCCAGTCCCTAAAGCGCTATGCAGGGTTTAACAGGGAGCTGCAAGGCTCTGCCCTCAGGCTCAGGAGCAGCCCTTGGCCCCTGCCTGCTAGCTTCTCTGAGGTGGCTTGGGCCCACTGGCAGGGCAGTACCGTGTGCCCCTTTCCAGGCTCTGAACCCACCCACAGCCCCAGGCACTGCTACTCCTTCAGGAGCAGAGCTGGGCTGCAGGCACCCTTGTAGGACCAGGTGGCTGTGTCAAGCATGTAGCTGTGTTACCTTTGATGCTCTGGGCCAGGCACATGTGGTTTCAACAGCAGTAGGGGCAGCTCTGGCTTAAGCAGGGGGGTCTGAGCACAGCTGGGATATCCATAATAGTTTCATGATCTTCTCAGGTCCCTTCCGACCCTAGAAACTATCTATGGCAGGAAAGAGTACTGGGGTCAAACGCCCCCAGCAAGGTGTTCATCTAACCTCTTCTTAAAAACCCCCAGGGTAGGAGCCTGCACCACCTCCCTTGGAAGTTGGTTCCAGACCCTAGCTACCCTGACCGTGAAATAGTGCCTTCTGATAATGATAATGCAGCAGAGGTCCTTGCTGTCATCACCTTCCCCTTGGCCAGTGGCAGCGTGAGCCGTGTTTAGCACAGCTTTCCATGGGAGCCTCCAACGTGTAGACTCAGCAGCTTCCAGTGAAGCTGCTGTCAGTAGGTCTCTGAGGTCACAGAGCAGATACCAAGTCCACAGCTCCTTGCTGCCTGCAACAGGGCCTGGTCTTAGTCCACAACAAGCTGTTGCCCTTCCAGCAGGTCTCGTGCCTGCTCAGTTGACGGGGGTCATGCTGCAGATGTGCCAGCAGCTCTCTCAGCACTTCCCTAGACTCAGGTGTTGCTCGAGTGGGCGGTGGCCAGGCCACAAGGTTTCCCCCGTCACACACCATCCCGAGTCACAAACCTGCTCCATCTACTTGCTGCGGGGCCAGCAGGAGATGGACGGTTGTACAGCTCACAGGGTTCTGCCATTCCCAAGCACAGCTTTCCAGGAGGCTCTGGGCTCTCCTGCCGGCAGGTGGCAGCACGTCCTGACCAGAGCCTGCAGGGGCAGCAAATGCTGTACAAGTAGTGCTTGGAGTGCAGGCTTCTACGGATGGGAGGGGAAACAACAGGAGCTTGGAAACTGGGGAAGAGAAGTGCAGTGTAACCCCCTTTTCCCCAGGGGAGAAGCCCCGGGCTCTTCCCTTATCCATCTGCAGGTCTGGGGTGGGCTGGAGAAATCCCAGAGGATACTGGGAAACCTCCTCCTGCACTGGCACAGGCTGTTGTATGTGCGGCAGGACAGCTGACAGTACGTGGGCCCCAGGTGCTCAGAGGGGAGAAGGGGCTCTAGCCCTCTTCTGGCACCATGCTCTCCTCGTAAGTGGCCCACGACTTCTGTCCCAGCTGCAATAGTAACTGCCTAGCTCCTGTACATTAGATTCCCCACAGTGGTCAGGGCTATACCCTGACCTGCTTACCAAGGGCCACCCTTTCCTCTGGCTCCTGTGCCTTGATAGTGGGGCGTAGCATCTTGGGAACTGGGGGCTTGGTACTGACCTTGAGAACAGGGAGCATCAGCCGGCTCCACGCCCAGGTCCTTGGCAGGGGGAGGAGGGATTCAGCATAGCCACACTCTTCTGCTTGGAAGCAGCCTGGGAGGCTGTTGCCTTGTGCCAGGACTGTGGCAGCTCCAGAAGAGAGGTCAGGTCCTGGAGGCTACGCCCAGCCCTGTGCATGCAGGAACCTTCGTGCCAGGGATCCTGTGCCCTTGGTTGGTGAGCTCACCCATTTCCTGCAGTCCATCTGGATGGGCTCGATTCCTGCCCCCCAGCCCTGCCTGCAAACTTGAAAGGCCCCTTGGAGGAGAGTCGGGTTCCTTTGTTCTAAGCCTGGCCAGAGTTTAGTCACTGGTGCCTGAACAATCTGCTAGAGATGAGGCTGCCCTAGCTCAAGCTTCCTCATCTGTCTCATCTAAACCACAAATGCACCCTGTCCCCCGCAGCCCCCCACCCTTGGTCTGGAAGCACTGACCCTATCGAGCCAGTTTCTGCCCAGCGCTGGGCCAGGGGAAACACCAGGATTTCTAACCCTGGTTTAGCCTGGTGGGAGCTGGCAGCTCATCAGCAGCCATAGAAAGCAACCCCCTCTGTGCACATGTTGGGGGCAGTGAACTCTACTTGGCTGCCCAGGAAGCTGGACTGCCCCAGCACCACCCAGGTAGCATGAACCACAGCCCCCAGCACGGGCAGGGCTGGACCTTTCCTGTCTCTCCCAAGCTGGACCCCAGCTCTGCAGCGCTAGACTGATTATGCACCCAGGTAGGCGCTCCAGCCCAGCCATCCTGCCACAGTGAAAGTCAGCACCGAGTTACATGCCAGCTGTGAATGGCAGCTGAGTAAACGCTGCCTGAGCCATGCGGACTTGCCCCCACCTGTCACGCAGGGCTTCAAGCTCCCCTCCTCCCCTGGCAGGCTGCTGGGGAGGGTCCAACCCTCCAACCTGGACTGGCAAGAGGCAGCAGGACGACACGGCCCAGCAAACACCTGCAAGGGCCCAGGTTCAGGGCACCGGTTGGTGAGAGGCAGCAGGCTTGCTGACACATGGCACTGGCTCAGGCCCCTCTCCCTGCCCTAGCTCTTACCTGGGTAAGGCAGGCAGAGCTTCCCCAGGGCAGGGACCCCTTTAGGACCACTTTGCTCCCACTCTGCCAGGCCAGGCATGTTCAGCTCCCCCCAGTGGGCTGGGAACAGCAGGAGAGCGAGCCGACAAAGCAGGGGCTGCATACTAGGAGCTCCCGGTCCTGGCTGGGCCTCAGCCTTGTGGGACACCAGGCCAGGTGCTGCCTTCCCACCAGCTCTGCTTGTGCCCCATCATGCGAGGACGCTGACTCCCTCACAGAGGCGCCAGACTTGGGTCGGACGTGGGTTTTATTACAAAGGGCCAATCACCATGTACAGTTTTTACAACGTCACTTTTCCGGGGGCTCAGCTGTGCTGCCCGGGTGGGGTAGGGGTCAAAGAACAGCACCATTAAGGTTGGATTTGGGACACAGCTACAAAAAATGGTTCAATCAGCTACGTACAGGGGAGGACATTTCATACCAGAGAGAGGAGGGCACAAAGGAGAGAGTGGGAGAACATGGAAGAAAAAAGGAGGTGGGAGACGAGAAGGGAGGGGTGGGAGAGGTCTGAGCAGCCCTGTGCTGTTTCTCTGCATGGCTGGGGGGAAGGTTGGGGTGGGATTCCCTCCGACTTGCATGTCTGGGGGGCAGAGAAAACAGCCTGGACACAGGAGTTCTCACCAGGAGGAGGGCAGGGGTTGCAGCATCCCGGCCACTGCCACACGTGCCAAGGATGTCAGTGCTTGGCCTGCGACACGGCCGGAGCCAGGAGGATGGCTGGGGGTGGGAACATTTCCTTATTGCTTCTTCGGAACAGTCTGTGTGGGGCAGGGCGGGAGACGGGGAGGAGAGGAGGAGGTATCAGAGGCCCGAGAACCCCGTCCACTGCCAGATGCCTATGCTGGGAAGAACACCATGCAAAGAAGATCTGCCTGCTAGCTAGTGCCAGATACAGAGTACAGGGACAGTAACAGTTCTGGCCAGGCTACAAGAGAATATATCACCATGAAGCACGAGCGAAGCCTCCGAACGCCGGTGACTCCCTGCTGAAAGTGCATCTCGAGGAGTTTGCTCGGGAGAAGGGTTCACTGCAGAAAACAAGGCACCACAAGGAGGTTGGATACTGGGCTGCACGCAAGGGTGCTGGGAGGTCCCGCGAGCGGAGGGGAGAGCCCTGCTTTAAACAAGGTCCACGGGCGCCCGCCTAGATGGGCTCGGGCTTGAGCTTGTCCGCTAGAAAGTCGCTCACAAAGGCTTCCACAATCTCGGGCGTGATCTCCTCGACGTCCATCACATACTTGGCTCTGGCTGACATGTCCAGGATGGTGAGCAGGGGGGCCGCCTCCGGCAGGTTGGTGTAATCCCGCAGGGAGTCGGTCATGTCGTCCTGGAAGCCAACGAGACAGAAGCCCCATCAAGGAGGGGAGCAGCAAACACGCAGCCCTGTCACTGCTACCAGGGAGGGCTCAACACGACTGGGTGAAGACAGGATTGCTGGCCGGGCCCCCACCCCCACAGCCTGGCTTCCTACTAAGATCCCACTGCAGGATTGAGGCTGCTGAATCTGTCAGCAGAGACAGATGGAAAGGGGGGGGGGGGTTGAATGGCTCCCTTGGTGCTCCGCAGCCTGGGGGAAGAGGAGGGGCAGAGGCCAAGGCTGGGGCTGCAGGCACAGAGCAAGGTTCACCGGGCTTTGTTTTCCCCCTGCCCCCGGGACCTGTCTTGGGACAATGGGGACAACGAAGGGAGCCGAGAGCCAGCGACTGCCATGCAGGCCAGGATGAAAGCTGGGGTCGCGAGGGGAGAAGGCGCCTCTCCTCTTGGGAGCAGCCTGCCCTCCCCCCACCCCTTGCAGCAGGGCATGTCTCAGGGCCATTGTCCGAGCTTCCCCAACGGTGCCTGCCAGCCGTGACACAGGTACAAGCACAACCTGTCGCTCCACTTCTCCGCCAGGCCTCCTCCGTCTTGCTACAGCCAGCAAGACCGAGTCTGGGCAGGCCAGGAGCCGCGGCCAGCCAGGCCACAGGGGCGGAACTGGGAGGTGAGACTGGCCAGGTCCAACTAGCGAAGGGGTGCAGGGCTGCCCCAAAGTACCCCATTAAGCTGCTGCTGCCTCCCCTGTCTCCATCAACCCATAGCCCTGCAGTTACAAGGCAGAGCCAGAAACCTCCTGGCTCCAAGGTCTATTCCCCCTCCTGCCATCGATTCCCTGTGCAACCATGGGCGCGTCTCTTTGTCTCAGAGCTGCCTCCTCCACCACCCAGGACAGCCTGGAGCTGGGCTAGCGCCTGCCCTCTCCCAGGGAGCCTCGGCGGAGCTGAAATATGCCACTCCCAGCAGCAGAAGGAGAACAAAGCCAGTGCTGCCGGAGCAGAGGAATCTGGGGTTCCTCCCCACTTCCCCCAGGCAAAGACGTGAGCATTGTCTACAAGTGACATGCTGCCCAAGAGCCGTGATGGCCAGGACCCAGTGGGCACAGAGCCAGGGAGACGGCAGAAAGAGAGCAGCAGACTCAGCCAAGCCTCCGCCACCTACCGCCTCCCAGATGCCAAGGTGTCCACAGGCCGTGTGGGAAAGGAGGGACACGAGGGAGCAGCACCGTGGTGCATGGCTCGGGTCGTCAGGCAGCCTCATCGTGACCTCTAGCTGGGTCCACCACTGAGACATGGGAGGCAAGCAGCTGTGGCACACGGGGGCAACCCAGAAAGGCCTGGACATCCCAAGAACATGCCTGCGAGTGGATCTGGGAACAGCAGGGCCGTATTCCAGATGTCTCCCCACACACAGAGGCTGCAAGGAGCCCAGCCAGCCAGCTGCTTGGCGGGAAAGGTGGGCAGAGGGGCTTGCACGCAAAGAAATCAGAGCCCTGTGGAAAGGGAGGGACGGGGGGAATGTACTAATCTGTGACTGCCAGAGCTACTGAACTGAACACGCATGGCCAGGCTGAGTCGCTCCTTGCTCCTGGCTCCAACTGCGGCAGCTCCATTCTCCCTGCACCGGCGTTCCCAGGCGGGCCCACTGCACAGCCGCCCTGGGGCATCACCCCGGAGACTGCTGGCGCGTTGTGTGGGCATTTCTAACCTGCACATCCCTGCAGCCGGAGTCCGGGCCTCCGCCCTGCGTCCCGCCGGACTGTCGCAAAACTGCTGTGGTCTCTTCATAAATGCAAATCAGCCTCGAAGGCGCCGGGGGAGGGGCGAGGGTGGTGCCAGCGGCCCAGGGCCGCGGTCAGGCGGTATTGTGAGCCGCGGCCCCAGGGCTAAGCGAGGCCGCCGGAAACGTGGGGACGGCCGTGGAGCTGGCGGCCGCGGCTATTGAGCCAGTGATGAATGGGACATTCAGGATGCTCCCCCATTCTCTACGGCGGCTGCCACACAGCCAGCCGGAGCGAAATGAATGAGCTGCAGTGTTTCAGCTACAGCCAGCCAGCAAGAGGGCTGGGGAGGAGGACCCTGGGCAGGCTCCGGGGGAGGGGGCGAGAGCACAGTTCCCTTCTGCAACCGGCCTGGCCAACAAGGGGCTCATTCAGAGACCCGGGGCCGAGGCCGGGGCGGCCTGGGAGCGTGTTAGCGAGCGGAGAGCGCCGGGCATGCGCGCGGCGGACTGCAGTGCGCACACCCGAGGGGGAGGGGGGCTGCAGCATCGCGCAGTGCGGGGAAGCACGGGCTGATGCATGCAGCAATGGAGCTGGTGAGCATGGACGCATCCCCCAACCCACTGAAAGGCATCTTGGCCTCCCGGGCCTGCACCGATGGGGCAGAGGGAAGTGTAAGT